ATCACGAGTTCCTACGCTTCAAATACATCAATCCTCTTCCACCTCTTTTGCGACCCCTTTCGTTCTTTTTCCCCTTTTTTATATAGATTTTCTCAACGGTGGATTTCATTTTCTAGGAATAGGGCCGCCCTCGGTGAAATCGACCTTATTTGTCTCGGTGTACTTTAGAGTTAATCCTTTATTGCCCCAAGTTGCTTCTTGGATGGATCTCATCTTTCACTAACTATTCCGTTGGAAAACACGCTCCAACGGCCCTCGGCCTTTTCCGCTTGATTCGCTTTAAATGTGCTGAATAAAATATTGGTCGAAATTCCAAGGGCGGAAAACAAACTTTTTTTCACATTTCTCCTGATCCTATAATGCTGAGGTAAATCCCATTAGATTTATGACAAAATGGGTAAATTTGTTTGTAGAAAAAAATTTCTAAATATATTCTTTTCTAATAGGTAAATCTATACATTAAAAACACTTTTTATATAAATAAGTATGTTGCAGATAGAGAAAGTTTACTGATATTTACTGGGAATACTAGACGATTTCCCTCAAGAGCTAAAAAATTTGGTTTCAGATTTTTTTTAAAGTTAAACACAATTGTACAAACTTTATTTATTTATTTATTATTTTGTTAACGGAAATTTTAGACGTGCCTAACCAGAAACCAAATAGTTACAGACTTGGCATATATAAATTCAGCAAGCAAAACGAAAACAAATAATCTTCCTTCCTTTTATATAGCAGCATTTGTACTCTGTATAAAGAAAATAATATCTTTTCTGGTCTATGATATGTTTCAATCGAAAAATATCTAATTATTTTAAGCTCACATTACTAAAGATATTAAACTTTGACTACATAAATAATGGCCAGATAAAATCAGATATCATAATCACTTCAAAATTAAAAACCAAGAGAAACGCTCTACAGATTTTCAAACAAAATCTATCTTGTTTACCAAAGAATATAAAATGTACCGGTTTATCATTAGCGAACGCCCATTACAGACAACCTTGCCAAAATTTTCAATTAGTTCTAAAATTTGGAAACTTCTTTTCGATATTAGATGACTATGCAATTTTATTGGCTGAGAATGTTGAATTAGTAAATAATTTTTCGTCATAGTTGTTCATCAACCCAATTCTGGCAATAAAATCCCCAAGGTACTGCCGTAAAAAATTTACGTCAATAACAAATAATTTACTATATAAATTACGTGTGAAGATTAGTGACCGTTAATGGATAATTATTCAGAAATCGTGAGATGCGGTCTGGTGTGATGTAGGTTTCAGAAAAACATTTTCTTTATCCTGCCAACGTTTCAATCCTTATTGAGATCATCTTCAGGGCCTGGGATTTACAAACATTGTTTACATTTAACAAAAAATTTATACAATGCAAAATATATTTTTTATTACAATTAATTAAGGTTTTTTAGTTGAGATAAAAAAGTCAATGGCACGAGCGGGATTCGAACCCACGATCTTCGGCTAGATACGCCGCTGCTCTACCACTTGAGCTATCGTGACCTCGATCCACTCGGACACTAACTTCCCATCTCAACCCCACCTTTTGAATTTTCCCTCCTTTTTGCCATTTTTCAAATGTCGTGTAATCGGATTGGATTCTCGACGACAAATGAAATGGCCACGGAGAGCTTTAGTGAAGTATACTTCATTTTAAATCATCAAATTCACTAATTTCGTGGTCCGCTTGACCAATTAATACATTACAATACAATACAAGAAGTTTATGCAATGCGAAATATATTTTTTATATTCAATCAAAGCATTTCTACTCACTCAAAGTGTTTGTCTTCTGTGTAATTATGTAATTGTAATGTGTAATTGTAATTTAATTCTGTAATTGTAAAGGTGTTAAAAAAATATTTGAACTGGACCAAATTTCACATCACATTTCTAACAAATCAGAAATTTCAGAGCAACTTGAAATGAAGTTTAAGCCAATAGCTGCATATTACGAATACGTCATAGGAAGCTTTCTGAAATATTTATCCACGGTTTTAATTATGGCTAAGCTAACTTTTTCATTAAACATTAACAGAATTAACAGAATATTTCGAGATGAAATATACTTTGCTTCTTGCTCTCTTCAATATTTAAAAAATTTTCCCTCAAGAAACCCGAAGGAAAAGATGCCACCCTCTTCCTCTCTAAAATTATTCGCCTCCTTTCTAAAGCAGATACTCTACTTTCTTAATTTCGTAATTCAGGTCCAAATATTTTGAACAGTTTCTTTCATTTCTGTTAATGTTTTTCACAGCAATGTTGCACAGATATCCTGTTGCTTTTTTAGGCTACTTAACATTTCAAGATATAGATTTAAAAAAACAGTAGTGTGATGAAAATCCAATAATATAATTGTAGTATTGCGTTGTGTAGCTTTTTCCATCAAATAATCCGTTGTAACAACAAAATAACTTTTTTAAATTGGAAATAAAACATTTTTAACTTTTAACTCACTTTTTCTAATTTCAAATTGACTTCTTTCACTTCAAAATTAACCATATTTAATTTAAATTAACCCTTTCTTTAAAGCATTAAAAAATTCAGAAATGGTATAAACGTTTGGTCCTGTACGTTTGCGAATTTTTAATATAACATAATTGGGCTCATAGAAGACCATATAAAAATTAGTTGACAATTGTAAATTATACGTAACATATACATATTATACATAATAAACTCATACATAAAAATAAAAAACCTTCTTTTAATTTAATGTTTGTTTGTTTTATATTTAAAATGGGTTATTTTATAAAACAGTAAATGGCAATTAATTACAATCAAGATTAAAATTTATATAAAATTAATTATAAAAATATTCTTCTTCTCATAATTCGACATTTTAATATATAAAATGTCGAATTACTAGACGAATCATTTAATTTTAAGGAGACAACTTTTAATTTTAATTGTAATTCATTTTTATATAGTAAATTATATAAGAATATATGTTTAATACATTCCAAATTAATCGAATAATCATGTTTTACTTTTAGTTAATTTGCGTACAGTTTAAGAGCCCATGCATTTTATTTTACGATTTTTTTTTAATTTTCAAATATACAAGATTTTTAATAAGATTCATTTGAAGATAAAAAAAGGTTAATTTGAAATGAAAAATGTTCATTTGAAGTTAAACAAGATTGATTTAAAGTTAAAAAAAGATCAATTTATAATTAACAATGGTTAATTCGATATTAGAAAAGGATAGTTTGACGGGAAAAGCTACAAAATAAACCCGTAGCTTTTTCAATAATTCGATTTAATCAATCTTGTGCTTTGGAGCAATTCAGTTATTATTGTTACCGTTATTGTTGTTATCTGAAAATTGCAAGATGCTTTAGGTAACTTAAAATGGAGAAAAAATATTTCGCTTTTTGTCTTTTACTGATTTTCTATTAAGACAACGAAAAACGCAAGTTCGGCTGCAAGGAAAAGTTATGCTGTTCGTCAGGCAAGCTTGTGACAAATTCATTGATTGATTGATTGATTTTTTAATTATATTATTTTTACATTACTTTCTATTTTTATTATTTTTAACAAGATAGTAAAAACGTTGTACCTTTGAAAAGCTAGTTATCATTATGGTTTGAAATGTTCCTTTATGATTTAATTAATTACCGGCAAATTGACCGAGAAAGGAAACTATAAAAAAGTTTCGATCATAAAAAAAAGAAAAATTACCACTGTAATATCTTGAATTCCAGATGCATTATATGGTCTAATCCCATCGTTGTTACTATTACACCGAGTAATATCCGAACCCGACCGACACTTCAGAAAATTGTTAATTGCCTCAAATTTACAAATTTATCCAATTCGGATCGAACCTCTCGTGGTGTTTCCAGGCCAAGTTTTCACAAAAGGGCCAGAAGGTGTCGGATGAATCCAAACGTCCCCTAATGACTTCTCCTCGCCCTCCCGGTGCTGGAAGGGTGCGGCGGAGAGCACCTGGGACCCGGGGGTGGCGCTCTGTCAGCCCAGATTCCGGTCACGTTACAGCACCTCGCCCCCTCACGACACCCTTCCCCCCTTCGACGGTTCGTTAGTCAATAAAATTAACCCTTTCCGAAGCCTGCAGGCAGGGTGGCTGTCGAGGATCCGCCAAATGATAGGTACGCTGTACTGGAAAATTGCTGCACCACAGTCTTTACATCTCACCTTATTTCACAATTTTTTTTTAAACCTGCATTAATCTCGTTGGCTTAATTTATAGTCTTGTTTTGGATGAAATTCACAATATTTAAATTAATTTTTATTGGATTTATCTAATATTTTGATTAAAATATAAGAAAATTAATAATTTTATTAAAAAAATATGACATACAGAGATAATAAGATATCTTCTTTGGTAATAAAAATTGTGTCGGGAATAAAACATTACCGGATGGATCACACAACTTACCCAAAATGAAAAAAATATGTTCTTTTTTGTCTTATATCGGGTTTGGTATAAAAACTCAGATAAGCGTGGGATAAGCCGTCCAGAAAACAGGGAGCCGTCGTATAACGCGATTTATCAAATCCCCATGTACCACAGGGGGTACATGTTTAATTATAAAAAAGCGATATCAAAGGCACAAATGTAAAGGGATCAGTTGATCTCAAGCCAGACGTTTTTATGTTTCAGTTATCTTCCGACATAACTGCTCTGGCATTACCGGATTATTTTTAATGTTAAAATCCGACTATTTTTGTGAATTTTATTCAAAATGAAATTCCTGACTGCATTAACGTTTGTGACCGTAGTGTTACATCGGTAAGGGGGCAAAACTTTAAACAAAATTAAAACAACACAAATATGGGACTAAAAACCTACAAATTTCAAGTCATCAGACGCATAAAAGCGACTTTATAAAACACAAAATGCGCACAAAAATCTGTTCGAATTAAATTTTAAAATACTATGTATTCAATCGAATAAAAATATTATCCATATTCTTGATTTTTAAAATTTTCCTTTTCTTGTGTTTCAGTTCCGCCTAGCAGGATGGTCATCGTTGACGAGAATGACGTTGTTAAAAATAACTTCGCAGGCCCTTACGAAGAAGGAGCAGAACTTAATCTCCGATGCCAAGTTTTCGGCGGTAAGTTCACTTACATTTTAAAACAATCGTAAAAAGCTGGAACGCTTTACTACATTTATTAAAAACGTCGTTTAATAGATTTATTTAAATCCAACAATCGATGGGCCAGACAAGGCACCCAACACTTTTTCTCTTGTTCAAAGGCACACATTAGACTAAAACGTGAAGTATATATTTTTATTTTTTAAATATATCGTTAAGGATATATATTTTGGGGACAGCTGTGACCTAGTAGTTAAGGTATCCAATTCGTATTTGCCGCCATAGCGGTTTTGGGTACGAATCCCAACAAATCCCAGGGCTTTTTTGTTTGATCATAACATGAAAAATTTCTTTTAAGTTGGGTTGTCCCCTCTTCCACGACACCCAATGGTTAGATGTTGTAACTTTTGTATGACTGGATTATGAAAATATGTTTGATAAAACTCCAAGATAAGCATATATCTCGACCCTTTTGTTGGCACTCGATTTGACTGTCAAAACTTTCCTAAATACATAATATTTAAAAAAAAATTTTTAACAACAATAAGAGTAGGGGGGCGTCGGTGGCCTCAACGGTAGGCGTTGACACGGCGCTCATCACTGTAAGATAAAGGTCCCGGGTACATACTTACAAATGGGCTTTTTTTCAAAAACACCGGCACCCCGACTACTGTTACGAAACCTCGAAAAAAAATATTTCTTTCAATTAATGAATTTTTGTGTAAGGTTTTTTATGCTTACTACAAAATAAAATTAATTAAGGTTTTTAATTGAGATAAAAAAGTCATTGGCACGAGCGGGATTCGAATCCACGATCTTCGGCTAGATACGCCGTTGCTCTACCACTTGAGCTATCGTGACCTCGATCCACTCGGGCACCAACTTCCCACCTTTTTGAATTTTCACTCCTTTTTGCCATTTTTCAGAGAATCCAATCCGATTACATGACATTTGAAAAATGGCAAAAAAGAGGGAAAATTCAAAAAGGTGGGGTTGAGATAGGAAGTTGGTGTCCGAGTGGATCGAGGTCACGATAGCTCAAGTGGTAGAGGAGCGGCGTATCTAGCCGAAGATCGTGGGTTCGAATCCCGCTCGTCCCATTGTCTTTTTTATCTCAACTAAAAACCTTAATTAATTGTAAATGTAGTTTGTTCAAAATAAACTCGTTAGATGGTAGAATATGGTGACAACAACTGGTTCCTTTTCCTGTCGATAATTAGTTTTCCATGTAAACAATTGGCTAAGAAACCTTATCATCGATATGCGGCTCAAAAAAGCAGAAAATTTTAGTATTTTAGAAAAAATTATAAGCGAGATCTGTAAACTAGGCCTGGCCTATTATGGAAACATTAGAAACGGATATGTTAATTAATAATAAAATTAAGGGAAAAATTGGTGACGGTACTCTAGTTATTTCGAGAGATTGATCAATAATTACTTAAATAGATAAAAACAAGTAATATTAGTGTAAAGAACGCATGATCATGATCAAATGCCATTTAACTTTCTGGAAATTCTAATAAATGAGGTAAGAACTGTAGAAGAGTTAAGAAAATCAATGTTACGGTTATTTTTATTTTTTTTAAAAACAAACCCTTAATAGTTTTCTTCAGAAATACTTATAAATAATTACTGTAAAATATATATATATTTTATTACATGAACTTCGTGTGATGAAAGATCGACTATCTCTTAAAGTTTTTCTCTTCCTGTTAGGATATTTAAATTTTTTCCCAGTTTCCCCTGGCATAGGATAATACGCACTGGCATCCCAGATATCAGTGTCTCGTCTCCCCGCGGGCCCCTGTAAGTGAGTTTTGTGTTTGAAATTAGTTAAAAACAAACTCAATAAGGTCCGTAGGGTTGGAAGGGATGCATTATAAATTGCCGAGTCTTGAATAGAAATTGCCACTTAGCCCTTGTAGAGCCCTTATCGCCGCTTGCTGAGGATAAACATAATCTGAAACAGGAAAAATTATAATTAGTTCACCATAGGCGCGTAGCTGAAACCACTATTTTTTCCGGGCCTTCTCTTTGAGAGCTTTGAAAAAACAGCGGGCAGAGGGTGTAAAGAAAGCCGGAAAGATCGAAGTTAGTACGCTCGACATAGGGACGTTTGTTCTAACAAATTGAATTCTGCTCACGTCTTCCTCGTATACCAAGGGGCTGATTAAATTGATTAATTAGTGTAAATTATTTCCGAGAACTGACTCTGTAGAAACGTAGGTTTTGTATTTAATTTTCACAATACGGTCGTGAATTAAATAGAAAATACACAAGAAATGTGTATTCTGGACTTTTTTGTTTTATTGATGAATCGACTGAAAATAAAAAGGCTAATTTTTTTGTTTTCTGTGTGGTTTTCTCGATCTTAAATAATAAAACAATTGTGTTTTATCACTTATTATATGCAATTATTATTATCTTTCAAGCTTTTCTTATTTTGGGGATGTTCCCAGTAAATAACAAAAAAATGATTATTCGGAGATCGTAACCTGCGGTCTGGTGTGACGTAGGTTTTAGAAAAACATTTTCTTTATCCTGCCAACGTTTCAATCTTTATTGAGATCACCTTTATTCTCGTTTGTGACTTCATGTCTCTCAATACGACACACAAGAATGACACATCTACACGGAAAACAAACAGTTGGAGCCCTGAAGATGAACTCAATAAAGATCGAAACGTTGGCAGGATAAAGAAAATGTTTTTCTAAAACCTACGTCACACCAGACTGCATATCACGATCTCAGTATAATCATTGACTAACGGTCACTAAACACCACAAACAAACAACAAAAATATTTAAATTGGAATAGAGATTAGCAAACGGTAAATAAATATCATCAATCTCTTTCATCGATTTGATCTTGAGTCGATTGTATCTACCCTTATTATTTATATACGCCTCTTTCCAATCTAATAATTAGTTTATGCAAAATAAACTAAATCAATCTTAGACTGTTTTAAATTTAGAAAAAATTGTTAGGAAGCAGCCTGTATATAGTTTTTTTTAGGGAGATAAATTATTTTAATTCATATAATTTATTTTAAACGTTCAGTATGAAAAGAGATTTAGTTTAAAAATTATCGTACGATTCGAAAACGTGTTTTTAATTTGTATTAATTATAAAACTATATATAAATTTATCAATATCAACAATAGTAGAATTTCACACATGTGTACTTCTTTAATTGGAATGACTATAATTCGTGGCTGTTTATTCAGGTCCTACTTCTATTCTAATGAAAGATATTATTTAAAAAATACAATGAACATTTACAACTCCAAAACAACACATGAATGAGAAAATTGAATTCGAAAGCTAGGTTTTTTGCGAACAATTAATGTTATCATATAAAAGTATGGAGACAAAAAATTTAATTATGCAATCTATGTGTCACAGTTACATTTTTATGAAATTACAATCTCTTTTAACTTAACTTACTACTTAATGGGGTTTTTTAACTTAACGAGCATTGCATGCATGCAAATAGAACTAAAACTTCACACTGATGTCAAGAATAAGTAATAAAATATAATAATATAATATGATATTGATGGTCTAACAGGTGTATGATCGGATCGATAAGATAAACAAAAAAGTAGAAATACAGAATTTAACGTCAAAATGAGTTCGTGGATAGTTAAGTTTGTATTTAAACACATAAACAAATAGATAAAGAGAGGAGAATCAGAAAAGTTGTAAAGCATCTCGTATGCTATCTCATATGAGAAACACCTAGGGTGAAAATACCTTCAAAACGCTTCACCTTGGAGATTTAATGTTCTTCTTTTTTATTGGCAGGAATATAATGTAAGTATTATAACTTACAGATTGATTGGTTAGTCGATAGGTTAGATAGATTGGAAGTTAAGAAAATCGTATCTTTCCTCCCATTTTTGTTATTAATAACCTCTAAGCGATTATTAATTTAACTAATATTAATTAACCATGGTAAATCAAATAAAATATAAATTATATATGCACTAAATGCAATATAAATTGTCATGTTATTTGGAATACCAATAACCATTAATTATTGGAACCAATAATTATTAATATCGCATATACTTATTATAAATTATTATTCTTTCTACCAACAGCTAATTGATACAATTAATAAATAAAATATATTAATTATATTAAGTGTTGCCTCTCAATTGATTAAATTGACTTAGAGAACAAGTAGACTAGGATGTTCCAGCTGACAAATATTCTGAATGAATATAGTTTTTATTAATTTATTTTTCAATAAAAACTTGATACGAAATAAATTTTTAATATGATTCATTTTAAATTAATTTCCCTATTACCAACAGAAAATATGAAATTTGACTGGGGAAAAGAGGACAGAAATGTAACTACTAACATCGTTCCATTAATTATTCTTTTTATCTCAACCAAGATCTTAGACAAAAAGAATAATTAATCGAAATAAATAATACACAAGCATCCCGAAATAATGGATAATATGTAAATAATTTTATTTAATTGAATGATAATTTAAAGGGTATATGCACTAAATTAGAAATGTTCTTCATGTAAACTAAGGCAAGCATAATAAAAAAAATATAAAAATATTTTTCTCATTTATTTTGTAGTTATATTACTCTAAAAATTAACTTTTACTAGAATTTTTTTACATTATTAATGGAGCGGTCGGTGAAGTTGACTCATTTTTTTATCAATATGTTGGCAAATAACGAAATAAGGTATATAATAAAAATATTTAGTTACATTTGGTTATCATCAATTTTTTTTTCTTACAAGGGAGTTCTAGTTGGGTCATTAGAAACAGAAAACTACAGCAATTATTTTATTTTTGGTTGGATAAACATCGCGGTGAATTCACGTAGTATAGTTTTGTGGGGTAATTACTTATAGTACTAAAAATACTGTACTGTTGGATAAATCCTCATATTTATTCAGTGTTATATTTCAGCTGGCATTTCATTTGGAATAAAATGGAAATTAGGATTGATTGGTATTGTTTTAGTTAAAAGTGTAATAATTGA